TACAAAATGATATCCATTTTCAATATTTTTTGAGAAAAAAATTTTCATCCCTCTCGTTACCAACTCCATACCATATGGTATCTCCTTCGTTGTTTAGTCATTTTCGGAAATTTTTGCACAAAAAAAGGAACGATGTAATCATGATCTATTGGATTTCAAAATTTTCTGGGGAAAAAATTTCAAACCTCTCGTTACCAACTTCATACCATACTATACCACCCTTGTATGAGGTGGTATTTTTCATACCATATGGTATGCTGTTATTTAATACCATATGGTATTGACTGGTATTAAATAACAACATATCAATACCATATGGTATAGACTGGTGATAACTGTCAAATTTTTTTTGCTCCAAAAAATATCAAAGTGGATATCATTTTGAAGAGCGCAATTAATCTGATCTAACTGTGCAAAAAAAATTAAATTCCGAGTTAAAACGAGTGAGAAATCGTCCGTTAAAGATTAAGGGAAAGAAAATTAATAATTTTTCGAAGAGAGAGAAGAAGGCGCTGATGTGGCAGATTTTTATTGGGTTATGCATGAGGTTACTCACCACAAGGTTACTCACCGGATCTGCTCCCCAATAAATGGACCTTCCTCTCTCCCCCAAAGGCATCCGGGAATGGATCAGGTCAATAACCTTATGGTGAGTAACTATGAGTAACCCGCCCACATCAGCATGACATCAGCATCCTCTCTCTCCTGTAAAGCCTTTAATTTTTCCCTCCTTAATCTTTGACGGACGATTTCTCACTCGTTTTAAGTCGAAATTTAATTTTTTTTGTACAGTTAGATCAGATTAATTTTGCTCTTCAAAATGATATCCACTTTGATATATTTTTCGAACAAAAAAAATTGAGCCATTTTATACTAGTCTATAACATATGGTATTGACTGGTATTGAAATAAGAGCATACCTATGGTTTGAAAAGCGTACCATGGTGGTATGACACAAATCAAAACTGTAGGATGGTTGAATACATGATAGTAGAAGTATATTAAGTGTCATTTACGACTTTTAACATTGTATACCATAAGATACCATAAGATAACACCCCGTACCAGGGTGGTATTGTATGGTATTGTGTGGTATTTTTTTTTGTCTTGTAATTTGTTCACCCAAAAATTTGTAGATCCAATAGATCATGATGAACTCGTCCTTGCTGTGCAAACGTTTTCAAAAACGAATTAAAAACGAAGAAGATACCATATGGTATGCAGTTGATACCAAGAGGCCAGAATTTTTTTTCCTCAAAAAATATTAAAAATTGATTTCATTTTGTAGAGCACGATGAACTCGTTCCATCTGTGCAAAAAAAATTAAAATCCAAGTTAAAACGAAAAAAGATATGAGTCAATTAAGAAAACTAGTGAAAATAAAAATGACATTTAATTCTCCATCCTTAGATCTGGATTTTCTAAATAAAGGGTCAAGATTTGGTTATTGATGGGTGCATAACCCATGGTTATGCACCCTAACTTGAGCCAAGGCATCCTACCCCTTCCTCCTTCGCCTACCTTTCCGCTCCCAAACCTTCCTTATTATCAGGGAATGGATCAGGTCAGTAACCTTATGGTGAGTAACCATGAGTAACTCGTCCACATCAGCATGACATCAGCATCCTCTCTCTCATGAAAAGCCTTTAATTTTTCCCTCTTTAATCTTTGACGGACGATTTCTCGCTCATTTTAAGTCGAAATTTAATTTTTTTTGCACAGTTAGATCAGATTAATTGTGCTCTTCAAAATGATATCCACTTTAATATATTTTTTGAACAAAAAAAATTGAGCCATTTTTTACTAGCCTATACCATATGGTATTGACTGGTATTGAAATAAAAGCAAACCTATGTTTTGAAAAATGTAGCATGGTGGTATGAACAAACCAATACTGTAGGATGGTTGAATACATGATAGTAGAAGTATATTAATTGTAATTTACGACTTTTAACATTGTATACCACACAATACCACCCCGTACCAGGGTGGTATTGTATGGTATTGTGTGGTATTTTTTGGTCCTGTAATTTGTTCACCCAGAAATTTGTAGATCCAATAGATCATGATGAACTCGTCCCTTCTGTGCAAACGTTTTCCAAAACGAATTAAAAACGAAGAAGATACCATACAATACCACCCCGTACCAGGGTGGTATTGTATGGTATTGTGTGGTATTTTTTTGTCCTGTAATTTTTTCACCCAGAAATTTGTAGATCCAGTAGATCATGATGAACTCTAACCTAGTTCTTATTCTGGTTCTTATTTATTTGATTCGTAAGATGGGAAAGTGACCGGCTAAAACACAACACCAAATTGCAACCAAGTGTAATCGCAGTCCGGAAATGCAGACTAGTGACAAGTTCTATTTGTCAACTCGGGGTCTAGATCTACTGCCTGCTCCGTGATTATCTATTATCTAGCAAACTAAGTCGAGTGATTGTGATTTTAAGCAAAAGCAGTAAGAAAGCAGGAAATGGTTCGAGGTTCTTAAACAGGAGAAGAGTCACTCGGGAATGAGTCTCCCTAGCTCCTTACTTAGGTCAAGGTTGTAATTACCCTAGGTTGATTTACTGTTGATTAAACTGCGGAAGATCTGACAGTAGCTTGGAATCTCTTAAGCTCGCCAAGCCCTCTCAGGTAGGGATGGCCATCAAACCCATGGCCGCGGGTATCCGCCCACCTCCGACCAAGTCAACGCGGGGAATCCCCGCATTGACCGGGTATGGGGCGGGTATGGGTAAAACCCGCAAAGAACTTGATGGGTATGGGGCGGGTATAGTTTTAGCGCCCCCCCGCCCCATCGAGGTATTTTGCTATACAAAAAATAGGTTTTTATCTAGTAGACTTTAATCTTTTAGAAGCAAAAGAGGTTTTTGTCTAGTTGACAAGTTTATTTTAGCTATTTACTATATAGATGTGTTAGATTCGAAGATGAATGATTTGATATAGTATTATATTTTCATTTTATTTTATTGATTAATCAATATTTTAGGATTGAATGTTTTTCCCTATTCAGAAATACTGTAACTATGTTAATTTCCACTATTTTTTATGTATGTTTTGTGTTATAATTGAAGACATACATATTGAACTTTAGATATAATAATATTGCTTATACGGGGCGGGTATTACCCATGGGTATCCGAAACCCATGGGGATGGGTTTGCAAAACCTCCCTCCGCATGGGTATGGGCCGGGTACGGGTTTGGATATTTGGTAATGGGGATGGGGATGGTTTAGACAAACCCGCCCCAAACCCGCCCCATTGCCATCCCTACTCTCAGGCAGACTAACCGGCAGGCGACTAGCCTTCACCGGGATAGACTGCTGAGGCAATAAACGCAGAACTCCACTACTGGAATTGGATTCTAGTACAAAGCAGTAAATCGATTAACTCTCGTATAACCAATCTACCACTACCGATTGGTGAAGCTCTAACAACCTAATCAGATTCTATCTATCTCAGGTTGCAGCAGAAATCAAGAAAAGATGACCAGGCTTCAATTGACTCAATGAATCATGCATCAATCGATTAAAATCAATCAGTATATCAATCCAAAGTCATTACAATCAGGATTCCTAACACATGGAACTAGGGTTCTTCATTCCCAAGTGAGAGAAGGTTCTACTCCATAGAGAGAGAGAGGAAAACAAAAATCAGAGCAGTCATACTCATAAAGATGGGGATAATCTGCTATGGGATGTCGATCTTCACTCCTGGGGATGCAATCTAGGCTTCAATGTTGAGAAATCCACTCCAAATAGCTCCTCGAGTTTGTTCTTCGCACCTTTTCTCTCTAAAGCTCTGTTTTTTGCTCAAAAACTCGATTCCCTCTCTTTTGGCTCCAATCTGCCTCAAAAACCTGATTCTGGGCGAAATACGGGCTGAATTACGGTCATAAACATGGCCTTCATGTATTTCACCCAAAACACGCGTTTCACTTAACACTGATGAGGGGAATTACGGTCGTCATTACCCAATTACAGCCAGTATGCGTGGAATTACGATTGTAATTGATTCTGCTCTTGCACATATTTTGATCTTCGACAAACATTCTTGAGGATTTGGCTCAACATTCGAATTACGGTTAGGGCAGAGGCAATTACACCCGTAATTGTGCAGGGGCTGCCCGTATTTTGAATCTTGAATCGCCAACTGGCCTCCAAATGACCCGAAACTTGCGCCTATGCATCCCTTTACTCGCTAGGAACTGAGATACGACAAAACAATACAACCTAGCGTAAAATAGGCCAAGGAACTACAAATTCGAGCTAAAATGGTCAGGAAACAAGAGTGCAAACATGTGGAAATACGATGCTATCAGAAAGCATGCAATTATTTAGTTGGATGGATCCACCACTTGAGGAGACTACTAAGCGTGTTCTTCTTTCCTTACATAAGAGGATCCAAGAGATGGAGAATAGGAACAACAACAACTCGTTTATGAAATAACTCATTAAAGGATTTGTATTGGTGTTGGTGTTGCATGGAGATGGAGAATATGAACAACAATAGCTCCAATGTCCTTAGATTTCTCCAATCCTTTCCCAAGGTTGTTCTTCGTCACTTTTTTCTCTCTAGAGTTCACTCTTGCTGTTATAGAACTTGGAAAACAGGACGATTTGCCAAAAACATGAGTTTCCCTTAGTAGCCCCGATGTTGAAATCCACGGTCGTGGAAATGAATTCCAGACCGTGGAATTCCAAAACTATTGTGTCTCCATTGGTGGTTGACACGCCAAAACACAACACCAAACTGCGACCAAGTGTAATCGCAGTCCGGGAATGCAGTAACAGGCAAGTTTAATTATCAACCCGGGGTCTAGATCTACTGCTTACTCCGTGATTCTCTATTATCTAGCAAACTAATTCGAGTGAGTGTTGTTTAAAGCAAAAGCAGTAAGAAAGCAGGAAATGGTTCGGTTTTCAAAAGCAGGTAAGAGTCACTCGGGATTGAGTCCCCCTAGCCCCTTAGTTAGGTTCAATTGCAATTCCCTGGGTTGATTTACTGTTGATTAGACTGCGGAAGATCCGACAGTAGCTTGGAATCTCTTAAGCTGACCAAGCCCTCTCAGTCTAATTACCCGGCAGACGACTAGTCTTCACCGGGATAGAAAGCTGAGGCTGTGAACACAGAACTCCACTACTGGCGTCAAGAACACCAGTACAAAGCAGTAAACCGGCTAACTCTCGTATAGCCAATCTCCTACTATCGAATGAAGAGGCTCTAACAACCTAATCAGATTCTATCTATCTCAGGTTGAAGCAGAAATTGAGACAAGCTGATCAGACTCAAATCAATTCATGAAACATGCGTCATTCGATTAAAATCAAACAATAATATCATCCCAAGTCATTACAATCAAATCCCTAACACAAGGAACTAGGGTTCTTCATACCCAAGTGAGAGAAGGGTTCTACTCCATAGAGAGAGAAGAGAAAACAAGAATCGGATTAGTCATACTCATAACGATGAGGATAATCTGCTCCGGGACGATGATGTTCACTCCTATGACAATCTCCAGGCTCGATTCGATGAAATCCAGCTCCAAGATAGCTTCTAGGATGAGTTCTTCGCACTTTCTCTCTCTAGGGCTCTGTTTTTGCTCTGAAAAAACGATCCCTCCACTTTTGGCTCGGATTAGGCATTAAAACCGGTTTCCCCGAGGTGCACGGGCAGGTGCACGGCCGTGCACATCACCATTCTGGCCGTGCACCATCAAAACGCACCGTTTCACTTAACAAGCTTAGCCTTCTTGCACGGCCAGGCGCACGGCCGTGCAAGCCTGGATTGTACCCGTGCATGGTCTCGGCGTGAGGCGCACGGCCAAATGGCTCAAGTGCACGGCCGTGCAGCCTCCTGGTCTGCCCGTGCACTCCTCCACAAGCTCGCCCTTCGTCCGTTCTTCGTCCAATCGACCCCAGACTCGCTCCTAAGCCTTCATTCACGTACTAAGACCTGAAATAACACAACCAAGAACAACCTAGCGTGAAATCGGCCTAAAACACGAGAATCAACACCTCAAACGGTGTAAGTATGAGGGTAAAAACATGTGTAACTGACGGTCTATCAAACTCCCCCACACTTAACCGTTTGCTTGTCCCCAAGCAAACCAAGTCAAACACTAGGTAAGCTTACATATTTCAATCAACCAACATTGGGGACAAGTCATAAAGGCACAAAACACGTGAATCGCACTGGTTTTCAAACATCAATACATGCACAACCTCAATAACAACCTGGACAACCACCACCATGGACATTCGAGTGCAGCAAATCGAGTAAAGGAAGAGTCTCCCTCCTGTTCACTGGCCAACCTAGACTTGATTCAACCACTTACTCAAAACAGTCAACTCATGCATCCAACTCAAAACATCAGAATAGAGACCGAGCAATCTAGGTCCTCACCGGGGTACAAGAGCATATAGAAAATGAAAATGAATCACTCACTCTCGACCAGTGGGGTCAGGACAATTTGATGCGAAAGATGCGCATGCTATTTCTCTCAATCCTATCATCTCTTCACCATGATGGCAGCCTCTAAATGCTAGAGTTCACATATGGGGTGTCACCACTAACTAATCAGGAGGTCTTAGACACAGGTTCAAATGACTGGCTAGGGTCTTGGACATGGGGAAAAGGCCTTTTAGGTGGTGGAAGTATTCATAGCAAAAGGTTCCACATTTCCCAAACACACAAACACAGTCAACAACCCGGTATTTTCTTTCTGCTATCCTGCATTACTTAATATCTTAAGAGCACAAGAGCGAAGGAGGCATAAACATCAGCATTTCCAAGCCAGACTGCTAAGAAACACTACTTACTGGGCATTATTCAGATTTTTGGTAGTGGCTCTCTTTTGCTTTCAATTTTTTTCTTTGTTTTTTCTTTTATTTTTCTTTTCATTTCTTAAGAGAGCCACCACTTCTGCACATATTTCAAACACATGCCCAATTTTAAGCACTGCCTCCAACACTCACATAGACTTAAGCAGAAACAGCAGAGAATATGTAAAAACCACTCTGTGGAACCTTCTAAAAGATGCGACAAGGGTGATTTTTTTCATTATAGACCAAAAGAAAGGATAACACACGGCTCAAAGGGGCTGACTAGGGGATATGACACATTAGGATAGTCAGTTTCGGGCGTGGGCTAACCCTATGCCCCCATCATCTTAGCTAGTGACAACGTGAATGCTACACATCATGGAAGAGGGATCTATCGCACAAGAAAGAAACGAGCAGGCTCAAATCTCACATGGCTACCTATATGCTCTATCTCACATTCTGATACCCTGAACTAGATGCATAAACGACTGTCAAGAACAAGTAATCAGATCAAGTCAGATCAAGTCACAGTTGGCAAGCAAACAGTTGAAAAACTGAACCCCTACATCGTTCTACTGCACATCTCAGTCCTCATCATAGGTTGTCCTAGTCGCAAACAAGTTGTCATGCATTAATCTGAAAACCAATCAATTCATCCATCAAAACATAGTGCCAATATGATCAAACAGCAGTACTTGGAGCCCTCAAATCGTAAGATTCGGACAGTGGACTAGGCTCCAAGCACCATCTAAAATATTCCAACCGATACAGAACATCCCCCCACACTTAAGCACGACATTGCCCTCAATGGAGTAGAGGGAAAGATAAGGGGGAACGATGTTACCGGGTAAGAACACTGCTGGGGGACTGGAAGTGGACCAGTCAGCGAGAAGCGAACGGGGAAGTGGTCAATACTGCACAAATCGAACATCAGAACACTAGCACACTGGTGTTAGGGATAAGTGTTAGCCCAGACGGCTACATCAAACCACAAATGAAAAACCAAAAACAAAAAACAACCGACACTAAGTCCAAGCTCCGCACAAATGGAGCAAACACTCAAAAGTCTTAAAAAAAAAAACAAAAACAAATACACAGAGACGGGCAACGAGGACAGCCTACTCGTCGCCAAGATCGGTGAAGTCGATGTCATCCATGAATGCATCATCACCAGCAGCGCCAGCCGCGCCGTCATGTGGAGGGGAGTCATCCCAGGGAGTCCTCCAGACCGGTGGATCGCCCGGAACCAGCTGAAGCAGGTGCTGCTGAACCTCCTGCATGCGCCGGGAACGGCGCTTCTCCCGCTCGATATGGGCGAGAGTCACGCCCTGCTGAGCCTGGATCGCGTCCAGCCTGTGGCGGTACTCGGCCTGATCTGCCGCGTACTGTTGCTGGAACTGCATCTGCTGGTCGAGGAGCAGCTGGTTCTGTATCCTCAGCTGCTCGAACTGCTGGGTGAAGTAGTCCTGGCCCTGGAAAGTGGAGCTGCTACCCCCAAAATGGAAGTCAGTCGGTGGGGGATCATCAGCAGCATCCACAGCAGCCTCCACCTCATCGTCAGCCTCCTCCTCGGGCTCCGCGGGGATAGGAGGCTCCGGAAATCCCTCGACCCACTGAACACCGTTCCTCTCCCGCAACAACAGCATCTTCCCGATCGTCACAGCGCCAAAGATGGGGGTCTCCCCCTCCTTGGTGCACCCCTGCAGGGAGAGGCCGAAGAAGGTAACCAGGCGGGTGATGAGGGGGGCGTAGTGGAGGCTCTTCAGCTCCTTGGCCGTCTTCTCGAATGTCGTGGCCACCACCGAACCCAGGTGGAGAGGATGGTAGCGCTGTCGGATCGAGTCGAGGAAGTACAGGGGCCTTTTCGTGATGTGGCCGGAGCTGTCATATGTAGGAGTGTAAGACTTCCCCAGCAGGTGGTGGAGAAGTCGGTACTCGATCTGCAGGGTAGATGCCTTCGTCCTCCCAGACTTGAAAGGACGCGTCTGGCCAGGCTGAGCCAGGCTGGTGTACAGCCTCTTGAAGTCCACCTCCGGCTCTTTAAGCTCGGTGACGTACTCCCGACGGTCGTCGAGGTCGAGGTCGAGAGCCTCAGCCAGCTCGTGATAGCTCAAGGATCGGGGGACCCCACCCAGCCTGAATTGAACGGCTGTACTATCATGGTACCTGGTCGTGGAGTTGTGCTTGAAAGTGGTGTAGAACTCCCACACCGGCTCGTTGTAGACCGGCTCGCAGATCTGTAACAGACGGCGCCATGCAGTGTTGGCGAGCACGGCGGAAATCTGGTTGTAGCAGTGCAATCGCTGAAACTCCCGTTTGGACAAGCAATGGTGGGCGCCAAACGGGGTTTCCACGACCTGCTTGAAGCGTGCTGCGGTGGGACCCCTCCTGAGATCCCGGATGAACGGGTGCTGGAAATTAGGTTGTGCCATCGCCCTGCAAAACAACAACCCAAAGTGGAACCAAAAGAGCCAAAGAAAAGGTCAAGTCCACCCCCACACTTAAGAACAGGAAGCAGCCGAACCATGGTTTCATCCATAGTTCGGGGGTCAAAAACTCGATAAATCAAGCATAAACCGGGTGGGGGTGCACATTCACAATAAAGTAGGCAACTCAAGGTTCACATCCATAGCAAAAACACCCACAAACGACATCATTAAGGGCCCCAACCGGTGGCCACAACATGGCATGGAAAACAGGCATTTCATCGAACACCTTGTGTGCACTATTAAGTGAAGCATGAAATTGGCCAAAGTCTTGCACATAAGGGCTCAATCAAACAAATGGGACATTGCCCAACATAATTCAATCACATCCCATGCATTCCCCTCAATCAATTTCACACAAATCGCATGATTCAAAAAAGATCTCTAACACACACCCTACACACTCAATTCTCCAAAATTAACAAAGTTAGGGCCAAAATCAAACCTGGAGACTCAAGTAGAGGTGTAGGGGAAGATGAGGGGAAGACAATGGAAGCGACGAAAAGCCGAAAATCTGGTCGGAAAAGCTCGTCGGAGCCTCGCCGGATTCTCGCCGGGAATCGCCTCCGGCGACAAAAATGTCGCCCAAACTCGCTCAAACTCAGGGGATAGGCCGCCTTGGGTGTGGAAAGAATGGGTTTTGTGTTGGTTTGGTGAAAAACGGACCCAAAGTGGCCGGAAAAATCAAAATAGGGAGGTTGGGCGCGGTTTTCCGGTGAGTGGGAGAGGTTTCCGGCGAGAAAAATTGGGTTTCTGACCACTATGGCCGTGCACGGCCATTTATAGAGCCCGTTCCTCGGCTGCACGGGCAGAGGCGCACGGCCGTGCACCTTGGCATTTTGCCCGTGCAGGCCGACACGGCCTGGCCGAGGGAGTTGCACGGCCGTGCACATAGCACATTTGGCCGTGCAACTAGCGACGAGAGCTCGCACGGCCTGGCCGAGGGTACTGCACGGCCGTGCGAGGCGATATGCTGGGCGTGCACCCGAGGATGTGCACGGCCGTGCACAAGGCACTTTTGGCCGTGCACTCCTGGCCGAGAGCGCGCACGGCCAGGCCAGGCTAGGCGCACGGCCGTGCAAGTTGATTTTCTGGCCGTGCACCTTGCTGGGGTCCCGAAATCAACCTGTTTTCACTCAAAAACGACACGAAACTCCAGATCAACGTCTCAAGACTCAAAAACACACAAAATCAAAGGAAAAAGAGTAAGAAAATGCAAACCTCGGTGGGGTTGCCTCCCCACAAGCGCTTCTTTACCGTCTTTTAGCTGGACGCCAGTAGAGGAACTAAGGGTCCTCGAGCTTGATCAGCAGCTCTGCGCGCTCGACAGCACCTCCCAAGTATAACTTTAGGAGGTGGCCATTCACCTTGAATGGCTCGGTTTGAGCATTGTTGATCTCCACCGCACCGTGCGGGAAAACTTGGGTCACCGTGAAAGGACCCGACCACCTAGAACGGAGCTTGCCCGGAAAGAGTTTCAGGCGTGCATTAAAGAGCAGAACACGATCACCTACCTGAAACTCCTTCGGGCCCCTCAACCTAGCGTCGTGAAGACGCTTGGTGCGCTCTTTATAGAGCAGGGTGTTCTCGTAGGCGTGGTAACGCCACTCCTCCAACTCCAGCAGCTGCAACTTACGTTCTGTACCTGCAACACTCAAATCCATGTTTAGCAGCTTAATGGCCCAGAAGGCCTTGTGCTCTAGCTCTACCGGCAAATGGCACGCCTTCCCATAGACAAGTCTATAGGGAGAAGTGCCAATCGGGTTCTTATAGGCAGTCCTATACGCCCAGAGAGCATCATCGAGCTTGGTGGACCAATCCTTGCGGGACTGATCCACCGTCTTTTCAATTATACGTTTTAAGTTTTAACTCCCGGTTCGTCAGCTCGGCCTGCCCATTTGACTGGGGATGATAGGCCACCGACACCTGATGCTTAACGCCATAGCGAGAGAGGAGTTTAGTGAATTGCCCCTGAAAATGGGTTCCTCTATCACTAATAATGGCGCGAGGTGTCCCGAACCGGGAGAACAGCTGCTTCAGAAATGAGCAGACCCGTCTTGCATCATTGGTGGGCATGGCTTGAGCTTCTGCCCACCTCGAGACGTAGTCCACTGCAACCAAAATGTACAGATTGCCAAAAGATGGAGGGAATGGGCCCATGAAATCGATACCCCAAACATCAAAAATTTCACAAATAACAGATATATGTTGGGGCATCTCATCCCGGGCAGAAATGTTACCTGACCTTTGGCAGCGGTCGCACTGGCGTGCGAAGGTGTCTGCATCCTTGAAGAGCGAGGGCCAATAGAAGCCCGACTGTAGCACCTTCCGCGCCGTGCGGGTTCCTCCATGATGACCGCCAGTAGGTCCTTCGTGACAGTGAGACAGGATGTCTCCCATCTCATGCTCCATGACACAGCGCCGGATCACGCCATCTGCTCCGATTCTGAAGAGGTAAGGATCCTCCCAAAAGTAGTGCTTCAGATCGGAGAAGAACTTGCGCTTCGCATGAGTAGCCATCCCCTTGGGTAACTGCTTGCCCACCAGATAATTGGCAAAGTCAGAATACCAAGGGGTCACGCTGTCCACCAGGGTCATCGCCAGCAATCGCTCGCCCGGGAAGGGGTCGTCGATCTCTTCCTCGAAGTTATCCACCGGAGGGGCTTCCAACCGTGAAAGATGATCTGCAGCAACATTCTCGGCTCCCTTCTTGTCCCGGATCTCGATATCAAACTCCTGCAGCAGCAGGATCCAGCGGATGAGCCGAGGCTTGGCATCAGCCTTGCTCATCAGATAACGAATCGCCGAGTGGTCAGTGTAAACCACCACATGAGAGAGCACCAGATAGGGTCGGAACTTGTCAAATGCATACACCACAGCGAGGAGCTCCTTCTCTGTGGTGGTGTAGTTCTCCTGTGCATCGTTCAAGGTCTTCGACGCGTAGTAGATGGGCTGGAAGTGTTTCTCGCGTCTCTGACCCAGAACTGCTCCGACTGCATAATCACTCGCATCGCACATCAGCTCAAAAGGAAGAGACCAGTCAGGAGTCACCATGATAGGGGCTTGGGTAAGCTTCTCCTTCAGAGTCTCAAATGCAGCTGTGCACTCTGGAGTGAACTGGAATGGCGCATCCTTCTCCAGCAGCTTGGTCAACGGCAGGGCAATCTTCGAGAAATCTTTGATGAAGCGCCGGTAAAAGCCTGCATGGCCCAGAAAGCTGCGAATCCCCTTCACAGAAACGGGAGGAGGTAGCTGACTGATCGTCTCAATCTTCGCGCGATCTACCTCAATCCCCTTCTTGGAGATCTTGTGCCCAAGCACGATACCCTCACGAACCATGAAATGGCACTTCTCCCAGCTGAGTGCCAGATTCGTCTCCTCGCACCTCTTCAGAACGAGTTCCAGGTTATGGAGACAATGAGTGAAGGAGTCTCCATATACCGAGAAATCATCCATGAAGACTTCCATGATCTCTCCAACCAGTCGGTCAAAGATAGCCAGCATGCATCTCTGGAAGGTCGCCGGTGCGTTACACAGCCCAAATGGAATCCTCCGGTAAGCAAAAGTGCCGAAGGGGCAAGTGAATGTGGTCTTCTCCTGATCCTCCGGTGCAATAGGAATCTGGAAGTACCCAGACATGCCATCCAGGAAGCAATAGAACTCATGGCCCGCCAACCTCTCCAGCATCTGGTCAATGAAAGGTAGGGGAAAATGATCTTTCCTGGTGGCGTCGTTCAGGCGCCGGTAATCGATGCAGACTCTCCAGCCGGTCACGGTCCGCATCGGGATCAACTCCTTCTTCTCGTTCGGGACCACAGTCATCCCGCCTTTCTTCGGGACCACCTGAGTGGGGCTGACCCACTTGCTATCAGATATAGCAAAGATGATCCCTGCATCCATGAGCTTCACGATCTCTGCCTGGACCACTGCCTCCAAGTTAGGAGACAATCTCCTCTGCGGCTGCCTGACTGGCTTAACCTCATCCTCCATCAAGATTCTGTGAGAGCAGAAGGATGGGCTAATGCCTCTGATGTCAGTGATCTTCCATGCCATGGCCCGGGCATACTTCTGCAACAGAGCCACCAACCTGCTCTTCTGCTCGGGGGTGAGATCCGAGCTAATAATAACCGGGAGCTTATTCCCCTCCCGGAGAAATGCATACTCCAGATGAGATGGGAGGGGCTTAAGCTCCAACTCTGGTGGCTCCTCCAATGATGTAGCGAGCCGGGGCGAGATGGGAATCGGCTTGAATGGCAGCTCTCGCCCCTCGCTCGCAGCCTCGTCCAGCTCCGCCAGCTGCTCCGCCAGCTGCATATCCTGTGATGCCTGTTCCCCTAGCAAAAGACAACGCTCAAGGAAATCATCAGTACCCGCACTCGTGATGGCGAGTGCGGTCTCAAAATCAGCAACAACATCACAGTAATCAAGATCATCATGGAGCTGGGGGTGTTTCATATTATCAGAAACAGAGAAGGTGATTTGTTCACCCCCAGCTCTCAAAATCAGCTTTCCATCATTAACATCAATCAGTGCCTTGGCGGTGGCGAGAAAAGGTCTACCCAGTATCAATGGCACATCAACATCCTCATTTATGTCCAGAATCACAAAATCAACAGGATATGAAAATGGCCCTACTGCGACTATCAAGTCCTCTGCTATACCCCTAGGATGCACAATAGATCTATCAGCAAGCTGGATGCTCATCCTAGTATTACTGGGTTCACCTAGGCCTAGCTTCTTAAACAATGAATAAGGCATGACATTAATGCTAGCGCCTAAATCCGCCAAGGATTTCCCTACATGCAAACTACCAATCATGCAAGGGATAGTGAAACTCCCTGGATCTTTTCGCTTCTCTGGTAGTTTGTTCTGCAGGATGGCAGAACACTCCTCGTTTAGCATCACCGTAGACAGCTCCCCAAGCTTCCTCTTGTTGGTGAGGAGATCCTTCATGAACTTGGCATACTTGGGCATCTTCGATAATGCCTCCACGAAGGGCATGCTAATATTCACCTGCTTCAGCATTGCCATGAATTTGGCAAACTCAGTCTCTAGTCGGTCTTTGTGCAACCGAGTAGGAAAGGGAAGCTGTGGTACATACTCCTTCACCCCTGGTTGCAGTGTAGGAGCAGGCACCTCAACCTCCTTCTCCATTTCTTCCTGATTAGCTGGAAGTGCTGAAGCAGGGGTCTCTTTCTCCGCTGCCCGAACAGGGGAATCGGCAGTCACCTTGCCACTCCTGGTTGTGATGGCACTGCAGTTTTCATCCTGGTTCTGCGGGTGAGGGATGGTCTGACCAGGCAAGGTACCTGGAGTCCGTCGAGCAACAGCCTGGGCAACACCACCAAGCTGGGTCTGTATGTCTCGCAGCACAGCCTGCGTGTTTCTCTGACCAGCTTCTAGCTCCAAGAACTTGCCAGAAGCCTTCTCCATGAACTACTCCATGTTATTGAATTTACTTGCACTGGAGGTGGCCAGAGAACCCACCAAATCTCCCAGTTCCGCCATCGGGTCAACCTGTGCTGGGGCTGCCCCTGCCTGTGGAAATGGTCGTGCCTGCGACTGAGGTGGAACTGGCCCCTGTCTGGGCTGGTAGAGTGGCTGTTGTTGCTGCTGAAATTGCCCCTATCTGGGCTGGAATGGAGGCCTCTGGAAACCGGGAGGTCCCTGGGGAGCTGGTGGTCTGGGATTTGGCCCAGCCCAAGAAAAATTAGGATGCTGGCGCCACCCCTCATTATAGGTGTTGCTGTAGGGGTCAAAGCGCCTGGCATTCCCGATGAAATCCACCTGCTCCTGGGGAGTGGACGACTCCCTCATAGCCTGACAGTCCTCCACGGTGTGATGAGAGCTCTCACACCACTGGCAGTGCATCGCCTGCGGCTGTCCGGTACCTGCAATCAAACCAGAACGATCGATAGCTGAAACCAGCTTCGATACCACCTGCACCAGATCAGATGACTGGGTGCCCACAGCATGCACACCCCTTCCAGGTGCTCGTCTCGATCTCCTGGCAGTGCCCCAGTCATAACCGTTCTCCGCCATCTCCTCAAAGAGTTGATTCAGCTGTGGCGGGGTTTTGGTCAGCATGTTCCCGCCACAAACCGAATCGATCAGCTGCTTGTCCTCCGGGAAGAGGGCGTGATAGAAAGTGCCCACCTTAAACGCATCATTGAAACCATGGTTGGGACACCTGAGAAAGAGGCTGGTGTACCTCTCCCAAGCATCCCTAATGGTCTCATCCTCATCCTGAGAAAAGTGTGTAATCTGCTTCTGGAGATCAGCTGTCTTGGATGGAGGATGGTAGCGGGTGAGGAACTTGTCCGCCAGGTTGGCGAACGTGGTGATGGAGCCCGGAGGTCGAGTGTCTAGCCACTCCTTGGCCTGCCCCTCCAGAGTGAATGGGAAGTACCTCAGCTGGATGGCATCTGCTGGTACCCCATTGATCTTGATTCCATCGATGAGCTCGTGGAATCGCCTGAGATGTGATCGAGGGCACTCTCCCTCCTTACCACGGAACACTACTGAACCGCGCAGCATGGTGATCACGGAGGTGCTCACCTCAAAGTTGTTGGCTGGGACATGAGGGTGTTGAATGGGTGACCTCATGTCTGCAGCCCTAGCGGTCCAGTAGGATCCCATGGTCTGCTCCTCTGGGATCATATCACGGTTCTCTGGATCAGCCATCTCGCCTTCTTCTTCTTCTAACGGCAGCTGTGGTAGCTCCTCCTCCGCAGCCAGTCGTGCCTTTAGAGCCCGCTTGAAGTTCCTGCAAGTTCGTTCAAGCTCCTGGTCTAACGGTAGTAGATCTCCCGACTGGCTACGGGTCATGCACTACCTGCACACAGTCAGCAGAAACAACCCGTGAAGGCACACAGGTGGAAAAGAAAAATGCAATAAAGAAAAAGCTAGAGTAACAAATTATCACGTTTCCCCAATAACCTAGAGGGCTCCCCGGCAACGGCGCCAAAAACTTGACACGCCAAAACACAACACCAAACTGCGACCAAGTGTAATCGCAGTCCGGGAATGCAGTAACAGGCAAGTTTAATTATCAACCCGGGGTCTAGATCTACTGCTTACTCCGTGATTCTCTATTATCTAGCAAACTAATTCGAGTGAGTGTTGTTTAAAGCAAAAGCAGTAAGAAAGCAGGAAATGGTTCGGTTTTCAAAAGCAGGTAAGAGTCACTCGGGATTGAGTCCCCCTAGCCCCTTAGTTAGGTTCAATTGCAATTCCCTGGGTTGATTTACTGTTGATTAGACTGCGGAAGATCCGACAGTAGCTTGGAATCTCTTAAGCTGACCAAGCCCTCTCAGTCTAATTACCCGGCAGACGACTAGTCTTCACCGGGATAGAAAGCTGAGGCTGTGAACACATAACTCCACTACTGGCGTCAAGAACACCAGTACAAAGCAGTAAACCGGCTAACTCTCGTATAGCCAATCTCCTACTATCGAATGAAGAGGCTCTAACAACCTAATCAGATTCTATCTATCTCAGGTTGAAGCAGAAATTGAGACAAGCTGATCAGACTCAAATCAATTCATGAAACATGCGTCATTCGATTAAAATCAAACAATAATATCATCCCAAGTCATTACAATCAAATCCCTAACACAAGGAACTAGGGTTCTTCATACCCAAGTGAGAGAAGGGTTCTACTCCATAGAGAGAGAAGAGAAAACAAGAATCGGATTAGTCATACTCATAACGACGAGGATAATCTGCTCCGGGACGATGATGTTCACTCCTATGACAATCTCCAGGCTCGATTCGATGAAATCCAGCTCCAAGATAGCTTCTAGGATGAGTTCTTCGCACTTTCTCTCTCTAGGGCTCTGTTTTTGCTCTGAAAAAACGATCCCTCCACTTTTGGCTCGGATTAGGCATTAAAACCGGTTTCCCCGAGGTGCACGGCCGTGCACATCACCATTCTGGCCGTGCACCATCAAAACGCACCGTTTCACTTAACAAGCTTAGCCTTCTTGCACGGCCAGGCGCACGGCCATGCAAGCCTGGATTGTGCCCGTGCATGGTCTCGGCGTGAGGCGCACGGCCAAATGGCTCAAGTGCACGGCCGTGCAGCCTCCTGGTCTGCCCGTGCACTCCTCCACAAGCTCGCCCTTCGTCCGTTCTTCGTCCAATCGATCCCAGACTCGCTCCTAAGCCTTCATTCACGTACTAAGACCTGAAATAACACAACCAAGCACAACCTAGCGTGAAATCGGCCTAAAACACGAGAATCAACACCTCAAACGGTGTAAGTATGAGGGTAAAAACATGTGTAACTGACGGTCTATCAGTGGTCCTTGGAAGAAATCCACTATTGGTCGCTGAAAATCGCCAGTTGTAGAATGAAGACACCAAACCGGGGAATAACTCTGCTCAGAATCCATGCTTAAAACGCTGATTCCACGATCATGGGTTTGGCCTCCCAAACCATGGATTTTAATTCTTTTTCCTCCAAATCCTGTGTGTCCTCCAGTTGCATCCAGACTTGCCCTAAGCTTCCATTCAGGTACTTGGACCTGAAATATCACCTAGGTCCTCACCAGGATATGTAATATGGAAAAATGAATCACTCACTCTCGACCAATGGGGTCAGGACAAAATTTGATACAAAATTTTTGCATACTCGTATTCTCAATCCCTATCATTTCTTCACCATGACGGCATCCTCTAAATGCTAGATTTCACATATTATGTGCCACCACTAACTTGTCAGGAGGACTTGACCAATTTCAAATGCAACTGGCTAGGGTCTAGGACATGAGAACAAATTTTCAGGTGGTGGTAACATTCATGACACAAGGTTCCACAGTTCCAAATCCAACACCGCAACATTCAGTCAATGTAACATCCCGTTCCGGCAAAACCCATATTTTGATCGCTAGAAAGTTCGCGATTTAAAATCGAGCATTTCGACACTATTTCGACGAAAATTGGATTATCGATCGATCGGATAAGTATACGTATCAATTATATATATAATATATTATATATAATTATATATATAATAAATATTATATATATAATTACAGTAAACGGCCGGTCTATATATATATGAAGCTTCTCGTCCATTATTTCAATCACCATCATCTTTTCACTTTCTGGACCCGAGAGGAAACAGAAACAGAGCGAGCAGAGGAGGTACAGGGGAGCGACGAGGAAAATTTTTCCAAGCTCAATTCTTGAGTTCTAGTGGTCCAAAAATCCCGTAAGTAAAGCCTAATTCATCTATTCATCGTGATTTATCGATTTAGAGCTTTAAAACGAGTTTTTGGTTCAGGAATTTCTTGAATTCCCGATAAGCCAAATTAGGGTTTCGGAGTATCCGGAAGCCGGATTGAGCCCAAATTTCATATACGAGCTTCCTGCAGCGAGGTAATCAATCCTCTAATTCTAATCCCTGAATTTCGGCTATTATTTAGGCCGGAGTCGGGATCGCTGAATTTAGCTCCGGCCAGGGTTTGATGTGTTTTTATCAAGAATTTGACCCGGAGCCTAGAACTAATATTGACGGGGATACTGCAGGGGATATTAGGACGGTCTCGGATTTTAATTCGGGGTTCGTTCGTGAAATTGACGTTTTAGTACGGGAGGCTAGAACCGGTGTTTGAACGACCAGAACTGGTGAGGGATTAGCACGGCATACCGGGTTTGTCGTATCACGATAATTATATTGATGCTTAGAATGGATCTAGGTGAACTAGAATGGCATGATTAGGGGTGTATGAACTTTTGTGCTATATGTTGAACCCTAGATTGTTGTATGATATTATTGACTTGCCCTAATCGATATGAACCTTGTTTATGCTGATGATTGTGTATATGTTGCAAATTGTGGGCTTGACTGTTAATATGCTTTACGATGGTTCGAGAAGGTGATTAGGTATGATTTTTCATGATTGTTGTATTTGGATTCACAAGTGGGGAAATATATTTTTCCTGGTGATATTATAATGTTTAAGGAGGATGACTTGCACGAGGGTTTATCCCGAGGAAGTGCAATTATATGACTCCTGATTTACCTATGTTGAGCCAATTATGGCCAGGTCAAGTACATGTGCAAGCAACGAATTATGATTAAGCAAGATGAGATATGAATCATGTATAAGGATACCAAATATGAGTGTTGTGGTCTCACGGTCAACTACATAGTAATTAGGGCTCCCTATGCTATTACTCTATTATGATATGTATGATAGTCACACCTCTCATGTGGTGGTGACTGAAGAATTCTTACGAGATATGACCACACCCAGAGCGGTGTCGGGGTATGACTACACCCATAGTGGTGTGGGGTATGTATGACCACATCCGACGGGATGTTGGGGTATGTATGACTACATCCGACGGGATGTGGGGTATGTTTCCCGGGAGAGTTATTAGCATGGGAGTAGCTAGGCGCCTATAAGTAAAACATGATAAGACGCATATGCATAAGTCAAAGTGGTTGAGTCTTTTGCCCATTGGGATATGAGGATGGCTGAGTTCCGATCCTAGTGTTTTGGCTTGATTGTTAGATGTATGGTAGGGGTATGCTCTGTTATGAACTCACGATGCTATGATTATCTCACTCAGCTATGAGCTGACCCTCTTTTATTCTTCTTCTCTGCTTATGCTATGTGTAAGCAGATCATCAGCAGCAGCAGTAGATAAGTGTTAGGTGGGAGAGGAGCTAGAGTTGAAGCCAGGATGAGGTATGGTCTTCAACTATTCTGTGCTTGGACTACTACTCGGGATTTTGGCCAGTGATCCACACCTTTTTGTAAAATGTTTTGAGAACGTTTTTCATGTGCATACTAGCTTCAGATGTAGGGTGAGATATCCACAGGTGTGATGATATGTGTATATTTGTGTAATTATGTAAGTTGTGACGATTATGGCATGTATCAGTATAGTATGCAGTTGTGTAACATGAAACAGTGACTATGGCTATGAAAAGCCAATGCATATGGCAGTGAGTGTATATGTTTGTCTATGAATGCATGGATTTAGATGAATTATTTTGCAGGATCAGATGGAAGAACTGTTAGCCCATTACGCGAGTAATTCATGTCGAAATTTTATTTGGGTAAATTTTGATAATTAATGTAACACCCGAGATTATTTCCGCTGCAATTGTATGAACAATATGATTAGGTAATACGTACAGGGTAGGGTGTTACAGTCAAACCAAATACTTTCTCTTTGCTATTCTCATTAGTCAAGTTCTTTAGTGCACTAGAGTGTAAAAGGTAACAACATGTTAGTATTTCCAAGCCAGACTGCTAAGAAACACTATTCAATGACCATGATTAAAAATTTTGTGGCGGCTCTCTTGCTTGAAATTTTCACAATTTATCCTTTTCTTTTCTTTTAGAGAACCACAACTCTTGCCACGTTCTTTATATTTTTCAAGCACATGCCCACCTGTGAGAACTACGTCCAACACTCACTTTATTTCCAGCAAAAAATAACAGAAAACATGCAAAAACCACTATGTGCAACCTCAAATAGATGAATAGAGGTGATTTTTCATTGTAGACACAAAGAAGGAAAGTTATACGGCTTAAAGGGGCTGATTAAGTGGTATGACACACTAGGACAGTCAATTCGATCATGGGCTAATCCTATGCCTCCATCTTCCTAATTAGTGGCAACGTGAATACTACAAATCATGGTAAGAGGGATCTATTGCATAAGAAAGAAATAAGTTGGCTCAAACCTCACATGGCTACCTTTATGCTCTATCTCTCATATGATTCCTTAACCTCTATGCATAAACCAATGTAAGAAATTAGTGATCAATCCATGTCGCAGTTGCTAAGAAGACAATTCAAAAACTGAACCCTACTTTGAGATAAAGCTCATCCTTGTCACAATGATTAAGAACAATATGCAGTTTCATTGGCTTCAGGATGAGACTCCAAGGGAGCATGTCCAGAAATTCCTCGAGTTAGCGGGAAGGTTGAAGATCAACGGTGTACCCGAAGAAGCCCTTCGATTGAGGCTTTTCTCCTATTCTCTTGCGGGGAAAGCTCAACAGTGGTTGAACAGTAGACCACCCCTCTCGATAAAATCATGGAGTGAATTTCTCAACAAGTTCATAAGTCGGTATTGTCCACCTTCCAAGACGGCAGAATGGCGAAAGAAGATAACTCACTTCGCCCAAGAGGAGGACAAGACTCGTCGTTTAAGCATCATCTTGCTAAGGAATCTCGTGGGGATTGGCACCCCCCACATTTCTTTTGGAATGGGTGGAGAGATTTGGGAGATGACCTATGAAGAAATTGCCGAGGCTATGGGGTTGGAAAGTGGGACCTCGCTTGACATTGAAGCCGATGTCATCCCCAAGCTTAATTCAAAGGCAGCCTTTGCCAAGGTCCGACTACCTCAACACCGACGAGCTCGCTTTGACCCTTCCAAAACCACGATGACAATGCTCCTCCCCAGTGTCGAATCATGAACACTCTTCTGGCTCTTTCTCTTCTGCCTAAAGATCAATCTCCCAACAAGTTCACTAAGAGAGCTTTACTTTCCTTCGACACGATGTCAGACATTGACGCCGCCTCCATCTTGGTTATGTGCTTGCCACTTCTTTTTCTAAGGTGGCGAGCTATCCGAGATTTTTCATCATACACTTGGGGCGCTACATCACCAAGTTGGCTCGGTACCACAATGTTAACCTTAGCATCTGCACTAAGAGAGGCCGTTCCTCGCTCTTTGATGAGGAGACATTGCGTTCCATATAGTTTATTAGAGTGTTTGGCATGTACCGATACATTGAGGGGCTATTTGAACCGCCAGAGGAGCAGGAGGCTCCTCCTCCCCAAGCATCACCGCAGAGTCGACATTGTCGTACCAGAGCATCTTCGTCCTCCGGAGCTAGATCCTCATCCATGACAGTAAATGAGGTCGAGTGACCCGCCTTGAGCACCATGTTGACGGTGTCTCCTCTCAACTCACTCAAGAGGTGGATGCCCGTCGCAACTCCCACAACCTTTTAGAGGAGATGGCTCGCGTTCAGGGTGTCTAGGTCAAGGACAACTGGCGGGCTTCTCCTTCCCGCGAGAGGTAGACAACCGAGTGAGACATGTGGCAGAGACTGTAGCCCCACTTCTCCACTTCGAATATGAACTTTGTGATTCTTTTTTTATGAGTGTTTAACTAGTACTATTGTGTTTGTTCCATGTTCCCCGTGAAGTTAAACACTATTATTGTGAAATAACCTCGCCTTGTGCGAGAATGTGTTTGTTTGTTTTTGTTGAAGCAAAATCCTCCTCTATCTCGGTCTAATGTTCGAATTTTACTTGCCCAAATGTGTTGTAACTTCTTCACCCGACCCTTTTTCCATTGAGGACAATGTCGTGCTTACGTGTGGGGATTGGATTGTTGTGATGGGCGGGTGAATTTGATGTGAATGCATGTTCATAGTGGCCAATTATGGAGGATCTCGTGGTTATTAACATTGTGTATGGATAATTACTTATGATTGGGTGCAACCTATGATGATGACTAAGATTTGCATTAGGTTGGTGAAATTTTTTAGTTCTCGTGTGTGTGCAAACCATTGGATGTGTTTGGCTTGATTACTCATTGACCATAATTTCTATGCATCAAAATTTGGAAGTTGGAATGAATGTGTGAGCATCTAGGTAGCCATGTGAGACTTGTGTCACTCGTTTCATTCTTGTGTTTTATATCCCTCTTACCATGATGTGTAACATTCACTTTGTCACTAGCGAGGAAGATGGAGGCATATGATTAGTCTCAATATCGGTGTTCAACACATTCAAATAGTCTCAATATCGGTGTTCACCACAATCTGTGTTCCAAAGCACACCTCAATATCGGCCATTCACCATTCATTCATACACAAGTGATTGGAGCCCTTAAATTGTAGAAATTTTGCAATCAAAAGGCTCCAACACATTCAAATAGGCCATTCACAGTCATTATTCATGCGCCAATCAAAATATATGTACACCCCCTCCCCCACACTTATGCACGACATTGTCCCCTATGGAGCAAAGAGAAGGGTGGAACGAATTTACCAAATCAATTGACGTGATAGTCGAACTGAAGATGGACCAGTTTCAAGGGAGAGAGAGCTTCGCAGGGAAACAAACACAAATACATACTATCACTAGGCGAGGTTATTACACAATAGAATTATTTAACATCACACGAAAAGGGGGGGAACACCTACCAACTTTGGGTTGCCTACCAACAAGCGCTTCTTCCACGTCTTAGATAAACAAAACAAGAGGACTAGAGGTCTTCCAATAGAACTACCCCCTCATTGGGTACCAATTCACCCCAAGGTAGCGCTTTAGGCTGTGGGCATTGACCTTAAAAAATCCATTCTTTGGATAGGAAACTTCCACTCTTTCTAGGAATCAGACAGAGCCTGGAGTTGTAGAGGAGGTGATATGATTCCAAATGGCCAACTCTACACGTTTTAATTACTTTCCGAAGAAGCTATCAAAGTTGGGAAGAAGAAGGGCAGAATTTGGCTAAGTAATTTTCCGAGTTCATGGTACCTTCTTTGGAGGCATGGTTCTCTCAATTGTCTTGGTGGAAATTCAAGGTTAGGTGCTTGTTTTAAAGATAAAGTTGACATATTTCCAATGGTATGCGCTTTGGATCCAGAAAAAGTCATTAAGGTTGTTTTTCAAGGCCTCAAAGTTGCTACCTCAAAACTGGAAAACTGCCAAAAAAAATGTTTCAAGTCTGGAAACGTGTTTGTGAAGCCTACTTTGGAGCTTAATTCAAGGAGCATGGAGTTGATTCGAGTCCAGAGGCTCCCACAACATGAAAATAGGTATGTTTATCTACCAAGGGAAGAAATTGGATGAAATATTGGAGTTCTGGAAGGCCTCGAACAAAAGGCGTGAAGTTAGTACAAAAGCTGCTTTTGGACTGTTTGATGGCAGCTTGTGCTTCAAGAAAAGAAGATAAAAAGAAAAGGGACGCAAAGTCTGAGTCTGAAAAGGAAACAAAACACACAAAGCAGCAGCCCGCGGTGGGATCAATCAGAGCTAGCATAGTCACCCTCGTCAGGCCGGTCGTCGTCATCCTACTATTACCTGGGGGACAGAAGGTTCGCTACCAGAATTAGAGGCCCCAGAAGAGTGGCGGAAAGGCACATAGGAGATGGCGAGATGCTGGAGGATGAGCTCCTAAGTGGACTCAAGTCAGTCAAGGGGCGCATACCAGTGCGCAAAGGGCACAACCACCGGATGCGGACGTGCTCACGAGTTCGAGCAGGTTAGAGCGGTGCAGGTGGCTGCTCTTCCAATGGAACTCTAGGGGAGGCGTCATAGTGGCCATCCTCGTTGAATTACGCAGAAGTTGGATCTTGTAACATTGGCTTGCCACTCCTGGCAGTGATGGCATTCAGCTGCTGGTGAGGTTCCCGGGGATTGGGGACGGTCGGGGCAGGAAGAGTTCTCGGTGCCCTGGTATTATTCTGACGAGCTATTCCTCCAATCTGATTTTGGAGGTCCTGTAATATGGCACCTTGGTTCCTCTGGCCTGCCTGCAGCGAAGCAATGTTCTGGTCCATCCTGGCAAAATTCACCTGGCTGGTAGTCATGAATGCCGCTAGAATGTTTTTCAGCTTGCTCACCTGATTATCTGGAGCTGGAGCTGCTTGTGGCTCGGCATATTGGCGTTGCGGCTGGGGAAATGGTTGCAGCTGTCTGGGCTGGTAAGGCTGCCTCTGCTGAAAACCACCACCTGGTGCTGGGAAACCGGGTGGTTTAGTGGTGTTGCTATTATTCCAGGAGAAGTTGAGATGTTGGCGCCACCCTTCATTATATGTTCCGCTGTAAGGGTCAAGGCGCCGAGCATTGGCGATGAAAGCCAATTGCTCCTGTGGTGTAGAAGACTCCCTCATAGCCTGTCAGTGTTCCACCAGATGATTAGAGCTCTCACACCACTAGCACTTTGCAACTGAGGGCCCGGCCAGACCTCTGCCCGGAATAAGACTGTCGGGCTGCTTCAGTGTCTGCACAAACTCGGCCACCTCTCGCTTTAGCCCGGACCTGGCCTCCATGGCGTGCACACCCGATTCTGGGAACTCCTGCTTCTGGTGCTCTGCCCCCAGGAGTGATCCCTGGCAGCTAAGGTACTGATCATCTGGTTCAGTTGGGGTGGAGTCTTGGTGAGAATATCCCCTCCTGGCATAGAGACTTGATCACCCTCTGACTCTCTGGGTCAAAGCGCTGTAGAAATTCCCCACTGTGAATGCATCACTAAAACCGTGATGGGGACGTTGCCAGAAGAACCCTGAGTACCGCTCCCAGGCATCTCGAAGAGACTCATCTGGCTCCTGGCGTAAATGAGTAATCTCCCACTGTATCTCTGTAGTCTTCGATAGTGGATAATACCTGTCCACGAACTTGTCGGCCAGATTGTCCCACGATGTGATGGATAGTGGGGGCTGGGTCTCTAACCACCTTTTTGCATGCTCCGCCAGAGAATGGGGGAAGAGGTGAAGGCGGATCGCATCATCGGGTACATCATTCATCTTGAACCCGTTTGTCAGTTGCAGGAACCGGGAAAGGTGCACCCTTGCCTCCTCATCCTTCAAGCCATGGAACTGGATAGAAGATGTAATCAGTTGAATCCATCATGGCTTGATCTCGAAGTTGTTCGTTGGAATGGGTGGATAGAGGATGACTGGGCGGATGTCGGCGACCCGTGGAGTGTAGTAGTACTCTATAGTAGGATCCGGCGGTGGTGGTTGATGTTGAACCCCATCTGCCTGGGGTATTGGGTTGTTCCCCAAGATCTGATTCACTGGGGGAACCTGGAGAGGCATCCCCTGGGGTGGATTTTGTGCACCGTCCATCTCGTACTCTTCCTCAGAATCGCTGCTCAAGTGGTCGTCAATGCGCTCCTCTATAGCCAGTCTTGCTCGCTGTTGTCTCCTTAGTTGGCGACAGGTGCGCTCTAGCTCCGGATCTAACGGTAGTAAACCTCCTGACTGGCTATGGGTCATGCACTACCTGCACACAGTCAAGCAAGCAAACCCGTGAAGGCACAAGTGGGGAAAAACAAACAGTCGATGCGGAAATGGAAATGCCAAAGTAACAGAAATCACGTTTCTTCAACAACCTAGCCGTCCCCGACAACGGCACCAAAAACTTGACTCGCCTCTACCGTCACACTAGAAAATGGCCAAGTGTAACCACCTACTAGAGCGTAGTATAGCGGGTTTGGGTTTTAATGTCAACCCGGGCCCTAAGTATGATGACTACTCCGTGAATTCTTATTATTTAGCGGTGAAAGTGTAGTTAAGGTCCAAGTAAACAAACAAGCAAAGTAGTAAAAGGTTGTTTTTAAGTTGAGAGAGGTCACCCGGATATGGTTCCCCCTAGACTGCAGTTAAGCCAGATTGTAATTTACCAAGTTCGAATTTAAAGGCAGTTATACTGTGGGAGGTTCTTTTAACAGTCTGCATTCTCGACTAAAGGTCTCCAGACCCTCTCAATCTGAGTTCCCAGCGGGCGACTAACCTCCACCGGAGTAAACAGATTGAGGCCCTAACGAACCAAACCTCACTATCGAAGTAAATCTGGTACAGGATAGTGAACTAACTCCTCGACTAAAGTCGTCAATTCACTACCTTCAATCAAGGGTGCTCTATCAACCTAGGCAGATATTCTCTTTCTAGGTCAAAGCAGAAATAACAGGAATTTGATCAGGATTCGTGCCATTCAACAAATCAGACCTCAATTGAATATAATCAAATCAATGGATTCATACTTGGGTTCATACAATCAGACCTAACATCCAAATCTAGGGTTCTTCAAACCCAGGGGAATGTGGAAGTTACTCCATCGAGAGAGAAGCAAACTCTAGCTCAGAAGTAGAAAACATTCTGTGAAGAATGGGGTTCTGCTTCTGATCGGCAATCGACACTTCTCCAAGAGTTATCCGAGCTCCACTGATGATGAAGATCGATCTAAGGCGCTTGGGAACTCTGGTTCGTCTCATTCTCTCTCTAGGTATCACTTTCTTTCTCTAAACCTCGGAACCCCTTCACAATTGGCCTTCTTTCCCTTAAAATCCAGCTGCTCGCGATCCCCGGCCAGAATCCCCGGTCGGGTATTTCAGGTGCCCGACCGGGGATTTCTAAACGCAGCGCATCGGTGACGCCCTTAATACCCGATCGGGTATTTTTGCTCTCTGGCCGGGACCCATTATGTTTCTCAACGTCCAAAAGCGCTTTTCCCCGGCCTCTATGGAATTTTACCCGGCCGCGTATTTTTTTATCATTGCCGGGTATTTTGCTCCTCCAGCACCCTTCAACTCAAATGTCCTCCTTTTGACCCGAAACTCGTTTCTTCGCCTCAACGTCAACGCCAAGCCCTGAAATATGACATAAACACACAACCTAGCGTGAAATTGGCTTAAAACACGGATTCAACATCTCAAACGGCTCAAGAATGGAGGTAAAAATACGTGCAATCAATGGTCTATCAAATTCCCCCACACTTAACCGTTTGCTTGTCCCCAAGCAAACCTAACTCAAACCAACGCAACTCTCCATACCTCTATAGCAACACACAACCCCGATCGTCGGTAGAGGATTTCCTAGATCATATAGCAGCTTACGAGGTCAACTGGTCTTCAAGACGTTCCATATCTCTCTCAATGCGAGTACTAGACTCAAGCCAGGATCATGAGAAGAAGTGGAAGTAAGACAACCAGTTCATGGATAAAGGGACTCACACCATTCACAACCAAGGACTCATTGTACCGGGGTGCTCTTTCACTTCATTTTAACGTTGGAACCCCTTTTTCACTTTCATTTTACATTTCTTTTTTTTCATTCACTTGGCGGGGGTTCCAACTGCAGTCTTTTGCACGGTCGATCCTTATTAGTCGAGCAAGAGCAATTTCTGTACATCTGGCGCTCGCCAGAGTACTTATTTCAACTCCTTTTCCTCAACTCGTGTGGAGGTTCAATGAAATTAAGGGGGGGTCGGAAGCTCTATCCGTTCCCCCTAGATTGCAGTTAAGCCAGATTGTAATTTACCAAGTTCGAATTCAAAGACAATTATACTGTGAGAGGTTCTTAAACAGTCTGCAGTCTCGACTAAAGGTCTCCAGACCCTCTCAATCTGAGTCCCCAGCGGGCGACTAACCTCCACCGGAGTAAACAGATTGAGGCCCTAACGAACCAAACCTCCACTACCGAAGTAAATCTGGTACAGGATAGTGAACTGACTCCTCGACTAAAGTCGTCAATTCACTACCTTCAATCAAGGGTGCTCTATCAACCTAGGCAGATATTCTCTTTCTATGTCAAAGCAGAAATAACAGGAATTTGATCAGGATTCATGCCATTCAACAAATCAGACCTCAATTGAATATAATCAAATCAATGGATTCATACTTGGGTTCATACAATCAGACCTAACATCCAAATCTAGGGTTCTTCATACCCAAGGGAATGTGGAAGTTACTCCATGGAGAGAGAAGCAAACTCTAGCTCAGAAGCAGAAAACATGCTGAGAAGAATGGGGTTCTGCTTCTGATCGGCAATCGGCACTTCACCAAGCGTTATCTGAGCTCCATTGATGATGAAGATCTATCTAAGGCGCTTGGTAACTCTGGTTCGTCGCTTTCTCTCTCTAGGTATCATTTTCTTTCTCTAAAACTCGGAACCCCTTCACAATTGGCTTTCTTTCCCTTAAAATCTAGCTGCTCGCGATCCCCGGCCATAATCCCCGGTCGGGTATTTCAGGTGCCCGGCCGGGGATTTCGAAATGCAGCGCATCGGTGACGCCCTTAATACCATACCGAGGTCAAGAATACCCGGCCGGGTATTTTTTATCATGGCCGGGTATTTTGCTCCTCCAGCACCCTTCAACTCAAACGTCCTCCTTTTGACCCAAAACTCATTTCTTCGCCTCAACGTCAATGCCAAGCCCTGAAATATGACATAAACACACAACCTATCGTGAAATCGGCTTAAAACACGGAAATCAACATCTCAAACGGCTCAAGAATGGAGGTAAAAATACGTGCAATCAATGGTCTATCAGTCCTCACAAGAGAGTGGCACACATAGATGGGCATGGAGCATGCAAGACAAGTGAAAATGGCAAGATGACGGTTGCTAATGGCATCCGGGCTGCCACGCTAAGGGAGAAGCCTGTGGCTCAAGATGTTATGGAGTAGCCAAAATCATGATGAAGCATGCTCGCCTTGGCATTGCGCTACTCAAAAGAAAGACCCACAATAACTCGGGTGAGAGTATCCTGCCATCGCTGATCTAAAAGGACTAATGTCATGAATTTCTGCTCATTCCCAAGGAGACGGTAGTGGATGGTGTGAATAAAGTCCTCGGAGTACAATACCATAGTGATGCTGAACTAGGTAAGAGACATAGTGTAGATCTGAACACCAAGGTGAAAAGTAAGCCCATTGGGAAAGTAGAAGTTCTTCAAAGCTGCCTTGGTAGGGGTGAAACAAGTCAAGAACTTCAATGTGAGCTCCCTGTAGATGATCTCGTTGAGCTCAAACACTACCCACTAGGAGCCATCACTGAGCATGTCATTAATGGATTTGAAAACCCGAACAAAGTGCACGGTGCCCCAATCCAAACAACGAGGCTCGCCAAAAGGTAGCAAAGATAGTCAAGTCATCCTCTCCCGAGCCTCCAGGTTGAGTAACATGATGTCGAACCATCCATGCTGAATTGGATAATCGACTGGTTCATTGTCCAAGGCCCTGCCTCGACCTCAGCCGCAACCCCCACAATTGCCTTGTTGGAAAGCGGAGGTCGGCATGGGGAAAGACAGTTGGAGACACGAGAAGAAAGGCAGGGTAAAGTCGGGTTTTAGGAGAGTTTTGTAGAGGAAAAGAAAATGCAAGGAAGGGGCGAGGCTGGGTTTTAAAATCAATAAACACGACCTATGTAGGGTTTGGAAATATCATCCCTACTTCACCGTTTCGCAAATTCAAGCGAAAACACGACCTATGTGGGCAAAAATGCGGCCACGTTTTGTAAAGGGGAGGCCGTGTTTTTTACTAGAATGCTTCCCTCTTCAATTTTGCTCACTAGAAATCGGCCTATACCCACGACATAAAGAGGGCGTTGAACACATGGGACGAGGGCCACAGAAATGACTCAAGACAGACTTAAAACACACAAATGGACTCAAAACAACCAAAAATCAAAAGAAAAGGAAATGAAATGAAATAAAAATAGATTTGGGGTTGCCTCCCCACAAGCGCTTCTTTACCGTCTTTTAGCTTGAAACAGATACATGAACTAAGGGTGCTCGAGCTTGATCAGCAGCTCCGCTCACTCAACATCACCTCCATATAGACTTTTAGGAGGTGGCCAATCACCTTAAACGGTTCAGTTTGAGCATTTATGATCTCCATCGTACCATACGTGAACACCTGGGTGACCGTGAATGGTAATGACCATCTCGAACGTAGCTTTCCCGTAAAGAGTTTCAGGCGTTCACTATAAAGCAGGACGCGATCTCCAATGTGAAACTCTTTGGGGACCTTCAAACGAGCGTCATAAAGACACTTTGTTCGCTCCTTATACAACCTGGTATTCTCATAGGCATGGTAATGCCTTTCCACCAACTCCGGCATCTGCAACTTCTGTTCAGTACCTACAACACTCAAATCCAAGTTTAGCAGCTTAAGGGCCAAGAAGGCCTTGTGCTCTAACTTAACAAGCAAGTGGCAAGCCTCTCCATAGACAAGATGATGTGAAGTACCAATTGGCATATTGTAGATTGCCTTGTATGCCCACAGAGCCTCATTAGCTTGGTGGACCAATCCTTACGAGATCGATCCACTATATTTTCAATGATTCGCTTCAACTCCCATTTCGTCAGCTCAGCTTGACCATTAGCTTGAGGGTAGTATGCCACCTACACCTTATGGGTGACACCATAGCCAGAGAGGAGCTTCTTGAATTTCCCCAGAAAATGGGTACCTTATCGTTGATGATGGCATAGGGTGACCCAAACCGGGTGAAAAGTTGCTTTAAGAATTGACAGACACGTCTTGCATCATTGGTGGGCATGGCCTGAGCTTCTACCCACCTCGACGTAATCAACCACAACCAAGATATACAGATTACCAAATGATTCAGGGAATGGACCCATGAAATTGATGACCCAAACGTAAAAAATTTCACAAATAACATAAATGTGTTG